CCTCTCTCTCTCTCTCTCTCTCTCTCTCTCTCTCTCTCTCTCTCTCTCTCCTCTCTCTCTCTCTCTCTCTCTCTCTCTCTCTCTCTCTCTCTCTCTCTCTCTCTATCTCTCTCTCTCTCTCTCTCTCTCTCTTCTCTCTCGCGTTCTCTTATTTATGCATTCAAATCTTGCAGACATTTCCGTGATAATTATTGGGTCAATCTTACAACTTGACTGCTGCACATTCTGCCTGGGTAGGCATCTATTTCTCTCGCAACATTCCAACTGCGCTACCTAATCGAATTCCACAATCCAGCCAGCCACAAACGCCAATAAGCGGATGCCTCTAAGTCTTACCGAGCGCGGCCATGGCGGCTCCGGCGGCCACCAGTAGCAGACCGAGCAGCAGGGCGCGGCAGGCCGTCCACAGGCACGAGCTGGTCACCTGTCCGCGCTGCACCGGGACCTCGCTGTAGTCGGGCATCTCACGGCACGGGATGACAGCGGCGAACGGGATGGCACGGCGGCACGGGGTGACAGCGGCGTCTGCAATGATATAGGGGCCGGGGCTACATCGGAAAATGAAATGCGAACGCACTATTCAGTATGAGCGATGAACAGTCTTGTGACTTGAGACAACCACATGAGTTCCAACATCTAAAGCTTTCCATCTTTCGTGCTCTGAATAAGTTACCCACTATTCCGACAACTGTTGTTTTCGCTAAAACTCTGCCGTCCTGCTCCGAGGCGTATCGATGCGAGAAATCTCCCCCACCCGTCTGAACTATGAATGGGGCTTGCCGAGTGGCTGTAAAAGTATCAGCCAGCCTGCTCGAGCACAGAGTTAAAAGTTTCTGTGGTCTTCGGTTACTTGATCGAGAAGAGAAAACAGATAGCACAAAAGTAGACTGAAGAAAATGAAGAGAAAGAAAGAGGGGGAGAGAGAGAGAGAGAGAGAGAGAGAGGCAGACAGAGACAGAGACATAGGCATAGACATAGACATAGACATAGACATGGACATAGACATAGACATAGACATAGACATAGACATAGACATAGACATAGACATAGACATAGACATAGACATGGACATGGACATGGACATGGACATGGACATGGACATGGACATGGACATGGACATGGACATGGACATGGACATGGACATGGACATGGACATGGACATGGACATGGACATGGACATGGACATGGACATGGACAGAGACAGAGACAGAGACAGAGACAGAGACAGAGACAGAGACAGAGACAGAGACAGAGACAGAGACAGAGACAGAGACAGAGACAGAGACAGAGACAGAGACAGAGACAGAGACAGAGACAGAGACAGAGACAGAGACAGAGACAGAGACAGAGACAGAGACAGAGACAGAGACAGAGACAGAGAGAGAGAGAGAGAGAGAGAGAGAGAGAGAGAGAGAGAGAGGAGAGAGAGAGAGAGAGAGAGAGAGAGAGAGAGAGAGAGAGAGAGAGAGAGAGAGAGAGAGAGAGAGAGAGAGAGAGAGAGAGAGAGGAGAGGGCGATTTTTGTCTACACGTCACTAACCGCATAATAATTAGGTACGTATCTGTGGGACTCGGCGACGTCAAAACTCAGACGTCCACCCAAATCATCCCCGGGGAGGGTTTGTATGCGGCGTCTGGTCGTTTGGTCTCTGACGGGCCGGGGAAGCTCAGAAATAAACCGCGGTGTCACCGCCGGGCGCCCGTTTACCGCGGCAGACTCGGGCCGGCGCCGACTTCAGAGCGATAGGGCGGCGCCGCCGAGCCAGAGTTCATTAGCGGCGGCGTCTTCGGCGGCGGCTTTGATGATAGCCTATCGCCTGTCTGGTTATGGTTCTGCTGGTATCGGTTGAGATAGGTCAATTATGTTGAAGTATGTCGATACTTAACGCAAAGGAATATTCTATGGTGGGAATTTTCAGATGACCTAACCTGAGGTGACCTGAATCTTTATATCTTGAAGAAATAAAGGCTTCTCGAAAAACGTTTATTCGGATTCCCACAACGAATTCCACTGATATAGGTAAGCACAACATTCGTTCTTCAAAAGCGACAAGTATAGAGCAGTTGAAGCTGCCATCGGCTGACGGTTAGGTTAAGTCGGTCGCATAGTCATCGCTGATAAAGGAGCAAACGTGCCCCGCCACTGCTATTACGGCGGCCGTAGTCTCGGTGGTCTATTAGATTGAACGTTTAAAATAAGCCGGCCATAATGGAATCAGTTGGGGCTTTGGGGATCGACTTGCGGTCATCAAATGGTCTACCCAGTGTTCCATAGAGTTTAAAGTGTGCCTAGGAAAAGAAGAAGCATCCGAAACGCTTGGAAAACAGATTGCCTATAATCGCTATGTGGAATTAAGTAGCGCTGCATTATCTGATATTTTCTGAAGAAAAAAAACCGCCTACAGCCTATCAATATGCACTCTAGGTGTATGTAGTATATTAACGTAAAAGCAAGAATGAATACGTAACGAAAGAGTTCAAATAAGCGCCAAAAGAACACATCAGCCTCGACCGGCCGCACCGCGCGCACTGTCTGACCCGACCGCCGCGCCGGTCAGCTCGGCGGGGTCACCGCGGTCGTGGCGGCTGCCGATTGGTCCGCGCGCTCGAGTCCGCGCCCGCGCTACTCGGCCGGCGCCGCCCGGCGCACACAGGCACGGCATGATGGAAAGTTCCCAACACAGGATCACGATACCACACTTTTCTTCCCCCTTAAACAAAGCGATCCGGCGCACGTACGACACGTCCACTACGCGTTCGATACGGCGAAGCCGGCTCCGAAGGTGACGCCGACTCGTCACCCGCACGCTCGGTCGTCGTCGTCCCGGTTTCCGCCTGGTGATCTCCAGCACGATGAACAGCACCATCGCCAGCGTCGCGAGGTAGGCTAGGCGCTGCGGCTGCTCCGGCGACGGACGACTGCTCCGACGTCACGTCGCCAGTGGCAGCGCTGGCAGCGGCGTCGACTGCGATTGGCGCTCGCCGTCGCAGCCCGACGGTCGACGACGCAGCAGAGTCTGTGACTGGCTGACAGGGCAGGTCCACCTCGGCCTCCGGTACTCCAGTGCACCCAGGAGACGGTGCAGACCTGGGAAGATCGGGTGGTGAGCAGCGAGACAGGCGCTCCGCGTGGACACGCACTCCACCCTCCAGCTCATACGAAGCAGGTCCACGACGAGCAGTTACACGACACGGTGACGAGAAACGCGGGCGTCCTTTACGTGGCCGCGGCATCACCCGATACCGGACCCAGTCTCCCACCTGGATGGTCGGTGCACAGACCCGCTTCCTGTTGTCGAAGTGTCGCTTCATCTGGCGCTGCTTTCGGCTGACCCGTTGTCGCAAGGCGGCGTCTCCGGTGCTGCCACCTTCCGGTGCGACTGCGCTGTCCAGGTCCGTCCGCATCTGCCGGCCGTGGAGCAGCTCGGACGGGCTCCGGCCGGTCGTTCCGTGCGGCGTCGCTCGGTACGTGCGGAGGTAGGACTGCAGGTACTGTCGGCGGTCCACCGACTGCTGGTCCGCCATCTGGAGAGCAGATTTGATGTCACGATTCAAACGCTCTACAGCACCACTACCTGCAGGGTGATACGGTGACACTCGGACATGCTTGACACCATGCTTCTTCAGAAACTGTCCAAACTTCACAGATGTGAAGTGAGTACCGTTATCAGTGACAACCTCCCTTGGCCATCCCTCCCGTGACGTCACAGTCAGCAGAAAGTCAATGACAGCATCACTTGACGGTTCACGGACAAACGCCATCTCTGGCCATTTCGAGTAGTTCATCAGGCGCACCGCCCAGCGAGACATCCTCATGCCGGCACGACCAACACCCCTGACAGTCAACAGCGATTTCAAGGCAGCATGATCGGTACGTAGCACGAACTCTTGACCCCACAGATATTTGTGCCATTTTTCACAGGCCCAGACGCACGCTAACCCCTCACGCTCTGTGACACTGTACCTCCGTTGTGCAGCGTTGAGCGTGGACGAAGCGAAGGCGACGACTCTCTCGCCCTCAGGATGTACCTGGCTCAAGACGGCTCCCAAGCCGACATCACTGGCGTCCGTCGTGACAACGGTCGGCAGGCTGGGGTCGAACATCGACAGGGCGTCAGAGTCGAGGATCGCCTGCCGGACGTCGTTGAACGCCGCATCCATCTCTGGAGTCCAGGCGAACTCTGGAGCATCCTTCCTCAGCTGGCGTCTGAGAGATTCGACGCGGGTACTGTAACCTGGAACAAACTTACAGTAGAAGCCCAGGGAACCCAGCACAGCCTGCAGCTCCTTCTTCGACTTCGGCACCGCCAGGCTACGCAGGCCCTGGACGCGCTCAGACGACACGGAGATCCTGCCGTCAGTCACGGTGAAACCCAGGAAGTCCACCGACGTCACTCCGATCTTGCACTTCTGACGGTTCAGCGTGATGTTGTGGTCCTCCAGTCGCCGAAGAACCTGTTGGAGGTGGTCATCGTGCTCTTGCCGGCTGCCCCCAGTGACGATCACATCGTCGAGGTACACATGCACCCCTGGAACACCGGTCAGCACACACTCCATCAGCTTCTGGAAGCACTGCGGCATGCTCTTCAACCCAAAGCAGCATCTTCGATACCTCCAGGTCTGGCCGTCGTGGATGAACGCCGTCAGGTCCCTGGACGACTCGTGGAGCTCCAACTGGTGGTACGCCGACTTCATGTCTAGAGTCGACATGCACTTCGCACCACGCAGCTTCTCCAGCATCTCCTGCATGTCAGGAATTGGATGACCATTTGAGATGACAGCTCTGTTCACCTCAGACAAGTCGAGGCAAATCCGTAGACCTTTACCTCCCCTTTTACGGATGGCTACGATCGGTGAGAGCCATGGAGATGCAGCACGATCCACTCGCTCAATGATACCCTGCCGCTCCAAGTCCTCCAGATGGGCACCTACCTCATCTCTCAGAGCGTACGGCATTGTCCTCAGCGGCAGCTGCACGGGGACGGCGTCAGGTCGAAGACGTACCTTGTGCACGTACCCTCGGATCGCTGGCAGCACCTGACTGCTCACCTGACAGACCACGTTGCCGTGACGCACGGTCAGTGCCAGCTGCTGCTGCAGGTCCCTGCCCATGAGTGGCAGCTGTCCCACCGCGACGTAGATGTCTGCGAGCACCTCTCCAGAGTCAGGTCCACGGACGGTCACCGTCATCTTCCCCAGGACGTTGATGCCGCTGCCGTTCCACTGAGATAGCGGACCCGCTGGCCGCAGCTGAACGCTGCTGAAGTTCTGGTGGTAGAGCCTCGCTGGAATGATGCTTACCGCAGAACCGGTGTCGACTAGCATCCTCACTGGGTGTCTGTTGATGGTCACGGTGTAGTACGGACATGGCACCTCACGAACAGCATTGACATCTTGGGCAGACACTGACAGAATTTGTACAGCATCGACACTCTTACTCTGGTTGGGACAACAGTTGCTGAAGTGGCCCAGAGAGCCACACTTCCAACACTTCTGAGACTTTGCTCGACAGACTTTATCTTTAGCCCAGTGGCCCTTCATACCACATGCTCGACATGTCCCAGACTTCCCACCTGCAAGCTGTTTCTGTGGTGTCCTCCGCGCTGGGGCGCTGTTCCGGCGTCCGGCGAACGCGACCTCCACTGGTGCTGGTGACTGAGAGCTCACGGTGCCCTGCAGCAAGGCTTTCCGCTGCAGACCACGATCGTGCGCGGCGGCCAGTTCCTCCAGTTGGGAGAGGGTCAGTCGGTCAGTCATGATCAGTTTGTCACGTAACGGATCAGACATGCATCCTTCAATGAAAGCATCGCGCAGCATTTCATCAGTCAGTTCCCCAAAATTACATTTTGCGACTGCCTCCCTCAGGTTTGCCAGAAAAATGACATTGGACTCTCCATGACGCTGCTTAATCTGTCGAAACTGCAAACGTGCCGAACGAACATCAGCGTCACTGGCAAACAGTTTCTTGAGAACGCTTACGGCCTTATCAAAACGTAGGTGCGTTCCGGAATGATCATCAGACACGCTACCTTCGCTCTTAAGGTCAGCATCGTCAACTGAGACTGCAGCGCGGTACAGACGACGTGCCTCTGCACCGACAGATGTCAACAGAAACGCCGTCCTGCGGAGGTCAGACCAATCAGACCACCCGCTGGCCTCACCGTACATGATGAAGTCCTCGAACCACGCCTGCCAGTTACCAGGACGCTGTCCCGGCTTGGAGAGGAACTCCGGCGGAGCTGGTGCCTGATACATCTTGATATCTTGAGCGCTATTAACTTAATTCTTGATCCTTGTCGCCAATGTAGTATATTAACGTAAAAGCAAGAATGAATACGTAACGAAAGAGTTCAAATAAGCGCCAAAAGAACACATCAGCCTCGACCGGCCGCACCGCGCGCACTGTCTGACCCGACCGCCGCGCCGGTCAGCTCGGCGGGGTCACCGCGGTCGTGGCGGCTGCCGATTGGTCCGCGCGCTCGAGTCCGCGCCCGCGCTACTCGGCCGGCGCCGCCCGGCGCACACAGGCACGGCATGATGGAAAGTTCCCAACACAGGATCACGATACCACAGTGTACTTATACAGTGAGCTTTGATATAACCTTTATAAGTCCAGGTAAGAACAATCTGCGTCTGATCCATCGTTTAACCACAGTGGGTTTAGATATAACTTTTTAAGTATATACAGGGTGATCCAAAAAAATTGGAACCCCTAAATTAAAATGTCTTTCAGTCAGGAAATTTTCACTTGATTGATAAATTTCAAACACCATTAGAAAGAGCGTTCAATTCTCTATAAAACCAAGTTGATTGTACTTACTTATTATTATAAATATTGCCCTAGACATATGCCTATAAAATTTGTGTCACGAAACTCAGTGAAACGGTTTTGAACATTATGCGCATATCAGTGATTGGCGGTTTGCTGTTCTGACCATGTCGCTTGTTGGAGGTTCATCAATAAAAATAGCTCATTCACGTGCTATTGTAAGGAAAGGAAAGGCTGACAGCCTGCTGGGACCAGTTGTCCCAGAGACTGCTGGCCCGCGCAGTCGGAGCTGTCCCCAAGCAACTGCAGGCCTGCGGGACGGCCCCCGGAGCTCGCGTTGAGCACATGCTGGGATGAACAGCGGAAGTTAGGACGCGTGTATCTGTTCTACTGTGTGCTTCTGTGTTAACTTTTATGAAATAAAACTGAATTTGGAAGTGGTGTTATTCGCAAAAAGACAACAGATAGAGTGCTAACGGATTTCAGCGCATTGTTAAATTGGACGATTTCGTTTCACTCAGTTTTCTGACGCTCATTCCAAAAGCTAATAGTGTGCCAATGCTTTACAACAAACATGCACCAATTTGACGTGATTTTATTGAGAATTTAATGCTCTTTCTAATGGAGTTCGCAAGTTGTCAATAAAATGAATACTTTCGGACTTATAGACATTTTAAGTTAGGGGTTCCAAATTTTTTGGATCACCCTGTATCTATCGCTATCGCCGTGTTTTTCTGTTCAACTTAGGGCCAAACCAAAGACTCGAGCAAATAACACGCTCATCCGTTGTTCGGCGGCGTTCGGCGGCGGCGTGGCAGACTGCAATCGGCCAACTTTCGGTCGCCCGGGCCGGCCGGACAGCACAATCGGACAGTCTCGCCGGTCGGCCGTGCTCGCCGGCCACGCCACATTGGCCGCCAATCGAGGGTGGAATGGCGCGACATTCCGCGTCGCCGGTGCAGCCTCCGGCCGCGCTTCTGTTCCGGCCACCACGCCGCCCCTTGCTCTCCGGCGCGGCCGCATCCGGAGGCGTCTCCGGGCCCACCGCGTCTGCATTGTGGTCCCCGGAGGCGGCGGCCGGACGCGCGTCATCAGCACCTCATGGCTCTCTCCGTCTATCGCTCTGCCGGCTCCTTTCTCAGAACGGCGGCAAATGGAACATCCCAGTGCGTCTGCCGCGGTGGGCCGGTGCATCCCCCGACTCTCCAACCGCCGTCGCCTCGGCAGTCCCTGTGTCACGCCGGGGTTGTTCGCCCATCGTTCCAGTTTCCGTGCTGTCGCTGCTGTTTCCCATTTCATCGTACACATAATACGCTTTGGTGCCTTTGGCTTTGCAGTGCCTCGCTGTGTCAAATATGCGTCCAAACTGCAGCGAGCACGGATGAATAAACATGAAACTCATCTTGAGCGACACCAGATGCGTATATTGTTGTCCCTGTCTCCGGGCTGGTTGTGTGTCTGCGTTGGCGGAAGACGCAACGCGGAATCAATTTAATCAGAGGCTTCCCAGAAAGGCTGCCGAATGTCAATCACCAAAAAAGATCGGCGTAGGTATAGTAAATATATGTATATTTATAGTATTTTTCGAGCATGGAACCCATTCAAAGAGGTTTATGTAGTTAGTACCTAGATACGTTTCTCTAAACATACCTATACGATGGGCATAACGTCTCTCTGATAACCGGTTAATGGTACCTTTACCTAACAATCTACCTGTAGGTAATGGCGTGTATTTTCAGCGGCTCTGATGCTGGTTATCACTGCCGCAGGCAGTAACAGACGTGCCTCTAGGCACACGACTCCCAAACGGTCACCGTCTGTCGGTAGACATTCCAGAGGCGCTCATCCCTGAGACAGGCGGTGCCGCCGCCTCTTCTCGTCTGCGAGTCGGCCCGGTTCACGTCTCCGACACAGACCCACGGCAGGGCGCCGCTGGTGGAGACGGCCCACTTGCTGTGGTCCTTGGTGGTGCCGAAGTCGAACGCCTCGCTGGCCGTGCTGGCCGTGACGTTGCGGACGTTCTCCACCGTGTAGCGGCCGGAACAGTAGGACGGCATCGTGGCCCGCCACGTCTCCGCGAACAGGCCGGTGGTCAGCGTGGGGGCCACCAGCCCGGTGTACAGGTCCAGGCCGTAGTCGCGGCTCTTGGCGAAGGTGGTGAACTCGGTACCGTAGATGCCGACGATCGACTCGACGCTGGAAGTCTCTCCAAGTTGAGTACGCTTATTCAGCTTCGAGAAACGATCTTGGCGACTGGGGAAGTAGGGTTCACCAGCGTTCTCCTTCGCCTGTTTCGGTCGGCACAGAATGCCGGAATCCTTGGAAGCGTAGCAGTAGGGCTCGTTGAGACTCACTTGTTTATTCACTTTAGCCAGCTCGCTGGTGGGGAAAGTGATGCAGAGAAAGCTCTGGCCGTAGGAGTAACCATTGCTGGCGTAGCTGTATCCCGTTCCCTCCTTCGGCGCTGGAGGGAACTTGGGAACGTTGTGGATCATCCAGAAGCCTTGGTCGCCCTCGAAGGCCACCACTCCCTTGGTGTGACCCTCGGTGCTCGTCGTGGAGCCATCCGGCCACTCGTCGTTGTAGAAGACGTACTGGAGGCCGTCCCGCTCGGGCTGATCGTACACGTCCGCCAGCGTCAGGCCAGGGGGCGATTGCGGGTTGTCGATGGACACCTCCGACAGGCTCCACTGGCCCTCCGTCGAGGCCGACGAGAAGTGCAGATACGCCGAGCCGTTGCGGGCGAACCCGGTGGCGTAGGTGAGAATGGGCAGCTTGTACAGCACGTACCAGTCGACCAGGTTGTTGTTTTGGTCCCTGCAGCCGAGCGGGCCGGCGGAGGAGCGGCCGGAGGGCTGGGCGGCGGTCCACCCGCCGACAGCCGCCGCCAGCAGGAGGGTCAGCAGGAGCGCCATCGGACCGGTCACAGCCGCGCCGGCCGGGGGTGTCGGGTCGACTGAGAACCCCTGACCCCCTCACCGGTGACGCGACACAGTTAAACTGACCTCCGCTGATGGGAACGGTCACACCATTCGCACGTGTACCGCGGGGTGTCTCGGAAGATAGCGCGTGTGAGTGTGATAATAAATGCCCCCACGACATGGTCCGAGTACCGGAGGGCGCTGAGGGAACTGACGAGCTGTGTTTGCATATGCCGCTCCCCGTACCGTCCGAATTACGTGCAGCACTTTTTATTTAACAATAAAAAGAAAGACGACGACGGCGCGGCACCGGCGTGTCTTGAGAACAGGTGACGGCTCACACCTCAAATTTAACACTAATCGGATATGTAGTGCACGAAAACCGCACCGTTGCTCCCTCCAGATCCGCAGCGCCGTTTGCAAAACGGCGTTTCCTATAAGCTGGTGTAGTCGAAGTTATAATTGATGACATTGAGAACAAAATAAATGGCTTGCAGAGCTGCTTGATACAACGGTGACCTTCAAATGAATTCAACCTGGAAAAAACCGTTAACACCGCTTTCCACGATAATTGATTATTGAAACGGGGAGGCCATTCTCATCACGTTAAAACCAGGGCCGTTTCCAGGTGGCAACAAGTTTTTTTTTCGTAACATCCGCTTAGTGCAAGGTATAGGTAATACAGGTACCTAATATTCGACTAGTTTCAGGACCAAAAGCACTAGAATCAAATTAAGCTTGACCATATTACATTAGCTAACAAATTACAACTTTCGCACGACCCTTTGCTACACCGAAATAAAACGACTGAACTCCCTCGTCCCCACAGCCGCCGGAAGATAACTGATGTCCGGTCACGGAATTTTCATCACCACTAGACTAGAATAAATACGTGATCACCCGGTCGCACCACACCGAACCACCGTAGTTCGTACCAATTAATTAGCAGCCCTCCTCACTCCTCAGTCCCCACACAGACCACTCTGACTCAGACCGACTGCAGACGGCGTCGTTACGCTCACCTGTTCAGGGCTCCGTCACCGCCGCGTCGCCTCCGTCGCCTCCGTCGTCCCCGACGGCCGCCACCGACCGGGAGAGCACCGCCGGCGGCACTGACTGCCGCTCGCGCTCCTCTCCTCTCCCGCTTCTCCTCTTCTCCGCCGGCCTCCGACGAGCCCCCGGCAGTCGGCTCGGCACGTCATCTGTTGCTGGCGCGTCGAAATCGACGCTCGATGGCGTGGAACGACGCTGATAGACTCTCGAGTAGGTGCGCGAGTGATCTGCTCCGATGCAGGTGTTTGGGGGAAGACTGGTGCCTGGTGGCGTTTCGCGGTGAGAGGCGAGATCACGGACGTGCACGGGATAGACATTCAGTCGTTAGATGTTTGTGCATGGCTGAACGGACTGTTGCAGTCGTTCATAAAGCCGTCATACATATGGTCGGAGTCGTAAAACCGTCTTAAAACCCCGTTCCATGTGGTCAAGAAAAACACCGTCTTTTACCTCATACCTGAGCTGCGGCCGCTCTGTAATTCTCCTCAGCCCGCAGCCGGCGGGCCGTCAGCATGGTTATCATTACGGTGTGGGGATCAGTCTCAGAAGAAGTGTGGCTTGAGTCGAGTGCGGCGGCCGAGTGAAATAAAATCTCCATAATCTTCCGGCCTCGGAGGTCGGATTTCTGGCGTCACTGATGACGCCCGGCGGTCCCCGAAAACCGGCGACCGTCACTCTCCTCTCGAAGTGGTAGGGAATTATTGCGCGGAGTTGCATGACAAAATAGGTAAAAGGTGTGCTCGATCACTCAACAGTCTTCAGCTATATGCGCAACATTACGGTATTACCTGAACTAAACATCAACGGCGACAGCCAAATCATC